TAAGTAATAATTCCCGGGTAGACTAGAACAGGTGACGGATGATTTTATTTCCGTAACGGGAAAAGTATCCAGTGGGGGAACGTGCAAGAGGTCAAACACAACCGCTGGTTAGTAATCTATTTTCATTGACATTCATGATGTGGCGATAAAGCATACGTACGTACGTATACAGTCTTTTTGCACAATGTGCAAAGCGATTTCCGGCAACAATTTGCCTTTTTTGGCGATAAAGGCGACTGCCATCTTTCTTAAATCCGATGCGATTTTTGTTTTTACCTCGGTGTTCCCATACCCCTGAGTAACTTTCGCTACAACATGCTGCCGATGATGCCACAAAGAAACTTGTTCTATTGTATGAGCTCTTCTATTTGTACAGCTTGTGCCGCCAAGACCTGCGGACACTGGTCTGTTCCTGAATTGTTTTAGATCACGTAGTAAATACCAACGACGTTGACGTTCTCTGACCATACACAGTCGGTGCTGGCTACTCCTGAGAATGGGCAGATCCTTGCAGCACAGTACTTGTATACGCATTGCCCCTAGCGAAATCGCTGAATCGATCATGTTATGTCAACCGTAGCTGGCCAGTTACAGCAACGTTGCGCAAATTGAAATTATACATTTTTGGCATGTATCCAAAATAAAATCAAAACAATACAAATATGCGGTGATTTCTCTTACTCGATAAATGATATCATATTGTGTTATCATTCGACTTATTTATTAACCTATTTTCGATCATTTAAATTAAACCAATGTGCCTTTATCAATTAAACATGCCATATCTTTTTGCTATGCAAATTTCGAATAGACGATTTTGATTCGATTTCGTTACTGTGATATCAATTTGATTAGATAATTTTCACGCTTCTTATATAATAAAAATCGATTAAATAATCAATAACAAACAACAATACAGTATCACTGTACAGTATAAGCAAGCAAAATTAAGAAATAAAATTTGAAAATATATCATTTATAAAATCAATTTGTTAAAAAATAAGATTAAAAATTTTATAAAAATACATATACAGTATGCACAAAAAAAAAACGAATAATTAAAAAAAATTTTTCTAAAATTTTATTTGACGTATAATATTATTATTTAGTTATCAATAAAAAAAAATAATAAATATTAATTATATAAAATTTATTTATAAAATTAATTTTAATAAATAAATATAAAACAATACATCATTCAAAAAAATGTGTAACACAACATATTTATTATGTATATATTATAAAATTCATTTTTGTTTTTTTTAAAAAAAGTTATTTATATTTTTTATTGATTTATCTTTGAAATATTTTTAAAAAAATTAAAAAAATGATATTATTGTTAATAAAAATATGATAATAAAATATTTGAAAATATCAAAAAACATCAAAACATTGTTATTAAAATAATTAATAAATAATATAACTTATTGTTTTTTTATAAAATAAAATTTGTTATTTTAATATTTTTATTAAATTTAATATTTAAAAATATTATTGGTTTTTTTTAATTATGGTTATAAAAAAACCTATATAATTTATGTTATTTAATTTTTTTTTAAATTCAAAAATAATTCAAAAATAATTTTTATTTCAAAAAAATAATATAAATTACAAAATTTTTTTATTATATTTTAAATAATATAAAGCTTATATTGTTTTTAATATAATATCCTTTTAAAAGTATTTCAAATATTTGTAATAAAAAAAAACCTATTATATCTAATTAATCTATTAATTTTATATTTTATTTAAATAATAACTTTTAATTAATATTCAATAAATAATAAATAATTGAATCAATATATAAAATTATAATTAATAGTTTCTTTATATTTGATATTAATAATTGAATTAAGTATTTTTTTTTTAATATCTTTTTTTTTATTTTATAATTTTATTTGAAAACTATAATACAATACAGCAAATATTTTATTATTTACAAATATTAAATAAAATAAATTTTTAATTAAAAAAATTCAAATAAAAAATCAATATAATATTTTTTGTTTTTGTTTTTAAAATAATTATTCAAAACAAATATGTATATTTTTTATATATTGTTAACTTTATTCCTAACTATTGTAATTTTTTTTTATTGCAAATAAGCATAAAATATGTAATTTTTATTAATTATTATAAATAATAAATATATTAAATATCTATTTAAATTAATTCTAGCTTATTACATGCATATTTCTAAAATGATATTATACTATATAAGTGATATCACAGTAAAAATGGTTCATTAATGGCTTATACCTATTTATAAACAGCTATATTATTATAGATATTAGAGAAATTATTTATATAGCTATTGTAATTAATAAAAGAATAAAATTTGTAGCTAGTATAGATGTTGGAAAAATAATTTATATGGCTAGGATAAATATTAAAAAAGCAATTTGCATAATTAGAGAGAATGATAAAAGAATAATTTTTGTAGTAATAATAGATATTGTATAAGAAAAAACAAAAGTTGGAGTTTTGGAGATATAGCTTGAATCATAAAATCATAAAACTGTTAGAATTAAATTGTTAGGATTTTGATAGTGCAGCCTGGACTTACGTAATCATACAACTGTTAAGTTAGAATTTGTTAAGATTTTGAGAATGCTACCTGGATCTGCAAAATTATATAGCAACTTGATTTGGTATATAGCTATATTAATCATTAAGTTATTTTGATTTTAATTGTTAAATATTGTCTAATTAATATAAGTGAATGTATTAATCAGTTAAAAGAAGTGAGTTGAGTTTGGTTTTTTGTTATATAATAGAATTGAGCAACTCATAAGATGCAGCAATATAAAATATTTGATAGAATAAACTATACAAATAATTTAATACATTTGTGGAAAGACTTTAAGAAATAATTTGAAAAGTTGATAATGTTAAAAAAGATAATTATAATAATATCATAAAAGAAGAATGAACATAAAAAAAAATTATAAAGTATAATTACCACAGATTTTTTTTAATACAATTAAGAAGTAAAAAAAGTTCTCAAATCTACTTATTGCTTGACTAAAGATCTATTCCAATATAATAGTAAGTCTTGAACTCTTTATATTTTTAAACTTATAATATTTTCTTAAAGAGTAGAGAAAAGAGTATATTTTTTAAAAAAAATTATCATAAAAAATTTTTTTCAAAAAATCAATAATGAACAGATGAGGTTTTTTTTTACTTCAATAATTTTTTTAACTATTGTAATTTTATTTTTTATAATTATAAATTAATATTTATAATTGTTTGTTATTATTTATATTGATTTAAAATTTTTTTCTAATATAAATTAAATAATTATTTTAAATAAACAGATAAAATATATAGCAAAACTTTATTTATTCATTATTTGAAAACTATTTTATAGAAATTAATAAAGAATATATTAAAATAAAATTAAAAATCTAAAGATTTTATTAATATAAAATTAATAATTGATTTTTTCATTCTTTTTAGATTATCATTTTATATATTTCTTTTTTTTTTTTTTATAGTGGAACGTGCGCACGGCATGTAATTTTTATTGATATGTTATATCTAGATAGACACCAAGTGTCTTCTACAAATTAATCATAACGGTTTTTGAATAAAGTTGTGTTATAACCTTTATGTCTTCTACAGTTAATCTGCAGCTTAACACTGCATTAGTATATATATTTCTATAAGACTAACTACGCTAACCACTAATGTAATCTGGCTATGCGTTCAACTATCACATAGATATGTTCACACTCCAGGTGGGACTTTCGCAGGGGGAAATTCTACCACTAGTTTAAACCTGCCTAAACCTGCTAGTCCATTATTGCAAGAAGCAAGTTATTATGAAATATTATTATAGAGACTAACCCCAGTATTCCAGTCACTGTTATCACTAATCCTCGAGTCATGCCACTAGCATAGTGCAGCACTACTGTTTTCACCACTTGTGGAACTGGCATCTTTGCTTGGATTCCAATTTAATCTTGTAGGCCCTCACTAGACACACTTGGCTTGACGATTTTTGCCTATATTCTTACTACTTGTGGCTGATGTCTTGCCCTTCGACCATATTATTAAGTCCCTTGTGTGACATTATATTGGGATAGATTGGCTTAAAATTAATCTCTTTTTTGTCTTTTTGCATGGAGTCTGCCATGCCAGGGGGTGTTGGGTAATTGGATATGACATGAGCAGAGAACTCGTTGAAACTTGTTCACGAAGGATTCTTTTTATAATCTCATGGACTATAGGGAAGGGAAGCAACCTGTGGGAACCAGAAAATACATCAAACATAGTGTGATTATTGTAATACCAATCAGACGATCGACACGCCATGACACCTTAATTGGAGATCACAATCTCAACATCCACTGGATCAGTGTGTGAGACGGCTTCGTATGTTTTTTTTTAATTTTCTTTTACTTCTCATTTTATTTATATCTAACAAAAAATTCTAAGTAAGTAAGCATAGCTGCTACTCAGCTATGTTTAGCATATATAATATTGTTTTAAAATTTCTTTTCAATATTAGCTAGATATAGATAATGTATAGGCAGAATAGTATTAACTTGTTATATGCTTTTTGCATCCAAGAGATGTTGTTTCTTTTACAAATGTATCCTTTAATACCATAAAAATAAAGAAATGATATTTACCTACCGGAAAAAAATATAATATATATATATACAATTTGTAAAATATAATTTTTATAAATAATAATTTTTTAATTTTGTTGAAATATATAATATTAAATGATTTTATAAAATTTATAGTTAAAAATATTTAATTAAATTTTATAAATTATTAAATATAAATTATTATTTTTTTATAAATTTATTATTATTGAATATTTTTTAATAACAAATATTTCTATTGTTAAATTTTATAATTTTTATTGTTATAATAAAAATTAATATAAATTAAATTAAATAATAAAACCTTAGTACAAATTTTTATTAATAAATTTAAATTTAATTAGTTATAATTTAACAATTAAATAATTTAATTTAAACTAATGAAAAATATATACTTTTAATAAAAACTATTAAGATTTAAATTAGATTAATTGATTTATAAACTAATAATAATAATTTTATTTTTAAAATTTTTTATTTAATATATAAATTTATTTATATAATAATTAAAACCTATATAACTAAATAAAGCTATAAATAAAAAAAATAGGTTAACTTAAATAAATCCATATATATTTGTAATTAAATATAATTTACTTAATAAAAGTATATTATTCGACCTGTGGATTTATAATATAGTGGTTAACACTTTACAAATTAAATCACAAGATATTATTTTAACCCTATATGAGAGTAATTAAATAGAATTAATATAATATCTAATACCATAACCTGTAAAAGTATTGTTTTTTATGAGAAGTCATTTCACATACTAATTCAGTGGATGTTGAGATTGTAATTTTCAGAAAAGATGTTGTGATGTAATAATTGTTTAGTTGGTATTATAATGATTATCAAAAGTTACAAGGTATATAAGGTGTCTGTTTTTGACAAGCAGATTTAATGACTGCTTATCTAATATACAATATTTTTCTATAGATTTCT